ACCAACCACTGACTGACACCTTACCAACCACTGACTGACACCTTACTAACCACTCACTGACACTTCACCAACCACTCACTGACACCTTACCAACCACTCACTGACAMCTTACCAACCACTCACTGACACCTTACCAACCACTGACTGACACCTCACCAACCACTGACTGACACCTCATTAACCACTCACTGACACCTTACCAACCACTCACTGACACATTACCAAGCTTAATCCTGATCACAAAAGGCAAATCATTGTTATAAGTTTTGCTCTCTTATTCTGTTGTGAGAGATGACAAGTTTGTCTTATTCCTTTACTGCATCTTGTAGTCTAGAGAATGCTCTTCGATCTTTTGCTTGTTTGACAACTGGTGATATCATAGCAATTAAATATAATGATAAGGTAGGAATGAAACTATGTCATGCGTCGGATGTATAGTACTGTAGTTTCAAAGGATTATTCAAGTTTGAACCTTTGCAGCCTCTCCTAAATGTTTTGTTTTTGACAGTATGGATGTATGAAAATTTAGCGGTGAATGCTACTGTATTCGTCATTGGTTTAATATACTTCAACCTGGGGCATAAAGTTTTCCCATTTCAGACCATGTGTCATTTCCTTTGAGAATAGGATTCTTTGTTTGAGTTGTATCCATATTCATGTGTCTTCTCGTCATGTGCTACCATTAAACAAAGAAATGATACTCTAGAGAATGACGTGTTTTGAAATGGGAAAATTTACTCCCAAGCCAAATTGTTCTTTAATAATATCTATTTCTCGCCTCAGCATCCAATTTAAACAATACACAAAGGGGCTCTGCTTGTGTTTTAAATGACTTGCTCTCAAATTCATGTTAAAACATTTTTTTTTGATATCATGATCAGGTTTATGAGTTTTTGGTAATGGAAACCAAACCAGGTAGAGCAGTATCTATCATTGAATGTGACATGCAGGTATACGTCAAATTAATTATTAATTAAAATTAATATTTATTGGGGATTAAAATAATGGCCGGTCATCAGACAATGTCCACTAAAAAATGGAACTTTTCTGCTGGAATCTTTGCCTCGTTGGTCATTTTGACCAGGAACGAGGTATAACTGAGCTAAAACTATTTTGGCTAATCATTATGACCAGCGACTGATTGGCTATTATTTAAATTAAATCCCTTATATTTTACAACCATCAAGCTCCCCATACAGGGCTCTTCCATGAGGTTTGCTTCACATGCACTTTATTCTATATTTAAAACATACAACACTCAACTTGCATGTTGATTTTAAAGAGGGGGGAGGGGGGGGGGGAGGAGAGACCAGAAAAAAAAACACTCTTGGAAAGAGAGGAAACAAAACATCAAACAAACTCAACTCACATCGTGATCTATTGCTTATTACTACCATGATATTGAAGTGCTTAATTTAAAAGTAAATGTTCTTCACTAGCCTATTATAAGGATAAAAACAAGTGTCTACAGCAGCAGTTACTTGATTTTGTTAGGTAGAGTTTGCTGCTCCTGTTGGATATGTCGAACCAAGTAAACAGGGAACTTCACGGGCACCAATGGATGAGGTAAACAGTTTGATATCTTTGTGCTTTGAGATCCTAAATGGATCCAGAGTTATGGTACATTTGGGTAATAGATTGTTTTCAACTGACGACTCAACAGTGGCCGTGTTACTAAAACAAAACATTTTCAATCCTCGGGGAAATGAACTCTATTTTTATGCAAAAACTGTGCAGAAAGTTTTTATTGTTTGGTACACCAACATGGCTGCCTTCTCACGTGAGTGAAAACGCTCTGTTCTAAATTAAAATCTGTAAATTGATCTTCCTTGTTTTATGAGTGTACTATATAATAGTCAGTTGCTAACAAACCTGTGCCTTTCCTTCCATGATTGATTTGGAATATAGAAGTTGTTTTTTTGTGGTGGGAGGAAAACCAGATAATCTGTTGAATAATCCTTAACACAACAAGCAGCTCTACTCACTAACGATGGTGAGTCCAGGGATCATGAGCATAGCAATGAGAGCAAACTATTGTTCTGCCATCTGACCTGCTTGGTGGCACTTGATTATACAAAACTTTATCTATATAGTCCTGCCTCGTCTCCACATGATTGAAAGTATTACTCGTCTTATTATTTAACAAGTAGAATGATAAACTTTGATGTTTTTGTGCAGCAAACGGACCATCCACACCCAGCAACACAGGTTGTCACACCAGTAAGTCTACAGTATAGTCACCAAATATAATAATATATTATACAATATGTTACTAACTTCCATGGGGAAAAAAGAGCAGGTCCTATCTGAGGTCATATTCTTGCATTTGACCATTTATGCATGGTTTAATCTCAGCATAGCATCAATTGATAAAATTGTCAATCATTGTTATCCTAAGATTGATTGACAGACAATGTATAGTCCTGGATAAAGGTCATCTTCGCACATTTTTGTTATGAAGTGGTTAATCAAATCCATTTGTTACTGGTAACTGATAAAACTATCCCCCTTTAAGGCTTTTCCTGGAGAAGGCAATCGCTTGGATGGAAAAAGAAAAAAGAACAATTCAGCGACAGACTCTTTACCCCTGAAACCTGTCATCATCAAAAGGTTGGTCATTAGTAGACATAAATGTGTTTGAATCATAGTTTAAGGAACTAAATTTCATTATTTAGTAGATAGTGAACCTTTCTCTCTATGCCTTTTCACGACTGATCAATTTCAGAGGGATCTAAAGAAACCCTGGCGGTGAACTCCCTCACCATCTACATTCATACCATCTCTCATGTTTGTAATCACCTTTGAACATACAATATACACAAATAGCACTATATAAACCATACATTATCATCAATAAACTATCCTATATAACTCCTATATTTTGTAAGTAAACTCATCATTGCTATATTATGTAGTGCTTATATTGCTGCTGTCATCAGTTATTTTGAGCAGTGGAATCTTGCATGAAATAGCACCCACAAATGATGTAATACTTTGTACATATTTTCTGCTTCTGAGCCCCGTAATTTGTTTATTTACTCAAGGCTCTCCACGCCAGGAGGTGCATACGGCAATGAGCTGACAGTAGCTCAGTGGTAAAAGCACCTGTCTGTCAATCATATTTATTATTTTTTGCATTTCATGTATTCTAGGGGTATTCCTAATTACGACTACAAACCAGGAAAGATAACGTTCAAGAGGAATTTAATGAAACCTACCAACAATCAGGTACAACATACCTACAACTTAGATATATTATTACATTATTATTAGTAACATCTTCTCGTCACGATAAGGTGGCCGGGTATACTAGTTAACAAAGAGTTCAACGTGATATCAACAAAGTACAATCAACATTAGAACAGTTTTGGCCGACATACAATACTGAAGTAGGAAACGAATGTGGCATGAAACTGCTATATAGAAGTTGACTTTAATGCAGTACTGACTTGTATTTACATGGTACAACATGTCATTTCACTATTACACACTAATGAAAATCACTAATGAAAATCACTTCAAAGTTAAATAAAACAAAACAAAATGAAATGAAATGAATATTATTATATTATATGTAATAATTATATTAATGACAATAGTTATTATATAATTAACAAAATTGCCAATAGAGTGCAAACAATATAACTGTGAAACTTTAGTAATACTAAATAGCACAATTTCATGCAAATTCCATTGTTTTCTATTGTTTAATTAGCACTATTTTGTACTATTTAGTAATTAGTGTTTCGCGGATTGTTTCCTCTCTATGGATAATTATTACCATAGATTATTATGATCATACAGAAATTTATTTTTTTCCGGTCCGGTATCCTAAAAAATCGTGTGTTCTGATTGGCTGTTTGAGCTGGCGGTATTTTGTCAGTATCTGCCCCTGCGCGTGGTCCAGTATCCTTTGCCGCTATAAACGACAACACAAAACGATTACAAAAACAAGCAAAAAAATACGGGGGAAAAAAAAAAAGTTATTTACTGTCCTATAGTCAGTCTGGATAGGGAAAAACTGTGCCCTCGGTCTTGAAAATGGACCTCCTGGCCAGTAAATAACATATATTTCTTTTTTAGCCGACAGAAAATATTGAAGATTTTGAACCTTTTGGAGGAGAAGGGCAGACAATCCGACAGAAGAGAAAAAGCAAAAGGTAGAACTGCAAAAGATTTACTTCAAGAAAAAAAATAGTCATGATAACCAAAGAAAATACAGATTAAAGCAAAGGACTGAGAGACATTATTTGACACTCTTTCAATGAGAAGTTGTATTTTCATATTGGTATTGTCTAATTCCCTGTGTTTCCATGCCTCATAGTGTCAATAAGGGTATTATATATGTATTGGTATATAGGATAAGTTGACAAATTTACTTGAATTTGAAAAAAAAATAAAAAAATGAAGATGTAAATTTACAGACAAAATTTTGTTGCTTGAAATTTTTTTTGAAAGCACTAAAGTCCCAACACCAAAATAGATAAATAATAATATTCAAGGGAACAACATGTGTTTATACTTTCAAAAAAGACAGTCTGTGGACGAAAACCCCTTCGCATTTGATAAAATGCAATTGGTATTTTTTATATTTAATTATTTTGGGACAAAGGTCGTATTTCCTTTTGATATTATGCATCTAGACATAAAATACTAGTTTCTGAAGTACAAAAAATGCTCCATCTTTTCATTTAAAACCATAATACAAGGTATAGAGTTCCTAGATGTGTGCAATTAATCAATTACACAGAATGAAGAAAATGAAGAAAAAATGTATAACCATTTTTATTTGGCCAATCAGAAACGAGTATTAAATGAAGATGTGTTATTTTATATTCTTACACAACACTATTCAATTTAATCTCTTAAATATTACAAATTAAAAAATATATTCAACTAATTGAAAACATGTACAATTAAGTGAAAATTAGGTGGTTTATATTGTCAATAAGACACTTTTGACTCATTCCAATGTGTAACAGTAACTTCAGCAGTGAACTTAAGTGTAATGTTTTCCCATTTCAGACCATGTGTGATTCCCTAGAATATTACTTCTTTGTATACAACTCAAACAAAGAATCTCATTCTCAAGGGAATGATACATGCTCTGAAAAGGGAAAACAGTGTGGTTGGCTTTCAAGCTATCCAGCAGTCAATAGGCCTCCTCGGCTCTGACGTGATGTTGTCCCATTTCAGACCACGTGTCATTCCCTAGAGTATCATTTCTTTGTTTAAGGTTTGCGCTCAGTTGCTCGGTTGAATATGGATACATCTCAAACAAAGAATATTATTCTTGAGGGAATSACAYGTGRTCTGAAATRGGACAACATTAAGCTWGAGTGCTCCAGAGCCGRGRRGGTCTATATTCCATACCTTGGAYGCACCCTTTTAGACTTAATCTGTAATCTGTGCACTGATACATGAAGATGATTGCCATTTGAAACTACATGCGATCAATGAACTTTTTTTTTTACTGAAAGGGAAGATTCCTGTTGATCATGTTGTCTTGAAGTACTTCCCTGAACTTGATAAATGAACATAACTGCTCAACTGCAGTGTAATATAAACGTATATTCTTTTGAATTGTCAAGCTTCTTCAAAAAGCTAGTCTTTTTTTGTAACTGTACAATACATGTAAATTGGATACATGAAGTTTGTTGCTCCATGTATTACAAGGCAATGACATTTAGTCTTCTAGATACAAGTCTGGTCACCATGGTTGCTATGTATATCTTGTGTTGCAATATTTTACTGGACACATGAAGATGATTGCCCCTGAACGAAGCAATAACATCTAGTCTTCTAGGTATAATGCAAGTCTGATCACCATGAAGATAGTTGCTGTACAATGTTTTACTGCGTACATGAAGATGTTTGCACCTTTACAAAGCAATAACATCTGGTCTTCTAGGTATAATGCAAGTCTGGTCACCATGATGATGGTTGCTGTACAATATTTTACCACGTACATAAAGATGTTTGCACCTCTACAAAGCAATAATTCCATCTGTGATTTATAAAGAAGGAGGGCTTGCACAATAGGAAAAATCAAAATGATTTCAAAAGCAAAATTTTCGAGTCTTTTCATAACCATTCCATCGACAACATCTTTGAACAGTGATATATAAATTGAGTATTTTTCTCATCCTTGTATTCTATACATTCTATACAGTCGTTGCTCTGAGATTCCTCTGGATCTCGTAAGGTGGAGGTGGTTCATTGGGGATGACCTGTGGATTTGGGAGCTGGTGTTGAGTTTTACATTTGTTGACATTGCGAACAGGCGTATAAGGTGGAGGAGGTTCAAATGTTCTTTCTTGTTGTTCCTCTCGTATTGCTGGTAATCGATTATTTAAAGGTGCTGTGATTAGAGTACAAAGACAACAGTAATCAGTACATTCATAATTATCAATTAGTATCCAAATTCACAATTGAATCAATAGGAAAGTTTGATCATATAATTATTTTAAATGAGTAACAAAAAACTATTGGTAGTTTTTAAGATCTTCCTCTGCTACATTGCACTTATAGCCACCTTCTGTCAAAAATGTCAGAGAATCAAGTTCTGTAGAGTGCAAACTATATATCCATGAAGTAGTACAAACGAAATAGTACGAAATAAAATGAGTGAAACCATTAAAAACAAAAGAAATGGATGTTGCTATCTATATTGGGTACATCAACTACTGGTACCAAATTTTTCCCCTTCACTCCCCCCCCCCTCCCCCCTGCAAACACAATGTATACAAGCAGCATAATCCTATTCTAAGGTAATGAGCCGTCAGGTGCTGTAGTAGAGTACAAACACTATAACCATGCAACATAATTAGCATTAAATACTACTAAACAGTGTACATATTGTATAATATTATAAAAAGTTAACTAACAATATTGTGTAAATTAGTGCAACGTTTTGTAGGTCTCAATCTACTGAGGTTTACTAATTTACTACTTGTGCAAATTTGTGCAATTTCTGTGACGTTTTTCACGGATATATATGGTATGCACTCTAGTGCAAAATGTTGCACACTTTTAGTGTTTGTACTCGAGCAAAGCTCAACTCGCTGGCTATTATGTTATTGTTCCTGTGCTGCTCACCCTGTTCTTCTAGATTCTGATTGGTTGCTCTATATCCACGATTCTTTTTTACATTTCTGACAATCACCACAATCAACAAGATGACCAGAATCAGTAGACCAAGAGAAAGACCGATTATTACTGCCAACTGTGTGCCATCAGTTCTCTCTGGTAAGCAAAAAAGTATGTTAGTCCTATCATAATTTATCAGATTTTACTAGGGCTGCGTTCATAATGTATGGCAGAGGGGGGAGGGGGGGGGGGCAGGTGAAATTTAGGGGGGAACGGATGCAAAATTTTTAGAAGAAGCTACAAGAGATTGCCCCGGGGGATAGTTATTTTTGGGGTGACTTCAAGGGGGGATCTTAAGATTTTTTTGTCATTTAAAGATTTCACCTGCCCATCTGCCATACATTATGAACGCATCCTAGGTAGTACATGCACTTTGATTGGTTGAGAATTGTGCTGTATTAGTGAACAAAGCATGGTCTGACACCAACCAAACAAACATGCGGCCTGCTTTGCAATATGCAAAAGAACTGAAAAGTACAGCAGATTTTTTTTCTTCCATATTTCTTTCTCTTTGCCTTTTTGTGTGCTTTTGTCACTTCCAGTATGCTGTATTATTGAACAGAGAACAGAAAAAGCTATACTTCTTACTTAGAGTTCAACAATATTATAGTGTTAATAGAGTGCCGATGCTTTACCTTCAGGACAGGTATATTCACAGCACTGTCCATCTACAGCCTTGTAATCTGGGCATGTTGGCACTGCACATTTCGTTGCGACGCACTTTTGAGGCTGTCCAGATACACACTTACAATGCAGACAAGGATTCTTGCCTGACGGCACAAAGTATTTTCCATTGGATATAAGATTGCTGTTGATATCTCGGCATGACCCTACAGCTGTGGAAAAGAAATTAAAAATTAACAAGTGGTATAAAAACGTGGGTTTTCAAATGAATGTTTTCGTTGAATTATGGATGCTGGAAGTTTGTCATGGCAGAAAATTGCTTTTTGACTGACAATACATCTTTGGTATTGCTTCACAGATATATGGCAAACACTCTAAGTGGTACTTTTATGACAATTATTTATCTATCCATATCATTTTATTCAGTATTATTAACTAGGTATGGCTAGGTAGAGTGATGGCTGTCAGAGGAATTTTTGAATTCAATTATTTCCAAATTGAACAGACATGTAGTCCTATTGCAGATTAATTATATCATCCCAAACTATACTAAAATGATTCCAAAAGTCATAGTTTTCCCTTGAAAGAATAAGAATAGAAATGATCCAAATTAATCTTTAATTTGGACAAGAAAGGGAATTTGAAAATAATACAATAGTTGGGATTTAGATCCTAATGGATACATGTGTTTATAGAGTGATGATACAATTGGTTACCCTAATAAATTTACTATAAACAGTATGTATGGTGTTTAAACATGTAATATCTGATAAGGGCGTGTGATGCATTCATGCTTCTAGCATTGAGACTACATATAATTTATTTTATTCTTATTACAATCAACACGCAGCGAAGGTACTGTATTATGTTTTTAGTAAATACTGGAAGAAGAAAAACCTTGGATTTGAAACGGATGAACCTAAGTTTTTGCTTTCACCTTTTAATCATAAATAAGTATGGGTGTATATCTGGAATTGTAATTAGACCAGCTGATAGGAGTATGTTACACCTTAAATCACAAATGTACAATGAATGAATTATCGTTGACTGGATGGTACAACATTCAAAGTGAGAGGTTAAACAACTAATTTAAAATAGGTTTCAAGTAAAGCACATAGCAGTTTAACACTGTTTAAAGTAGAATCAAGATTAGTCTCTAATACTATGAATATTTAGTAAGCAATTTTGATATATATGAAATATAGGGTACTACATGTAGATCTTTTACCTGACATGGTAGCAATTTCTTTCAACTCTAAGTTAATAAATGAAACTATGATCTTGACTTGAGATTAGAACATGTTAATAGACCAAACATGATGATACAGCTGAATTTCACAAGATGGATAGCTCCCATGCACGCACCCTGTTTGCTGTCACAGTGTGTGATCTATAATGTGCCTAGCTTGATCAGCTAATATCGTATTTGACATGTGGATTAGCTTAAGTATTTGTTTATGTAGAAGGAAGCATCTAGAATATACCCAGACTGAAAGGTCAATTGAAAGTAAAAGAGCTAACTATACTTGGATCATAAGCAAAAGCATTTGACATTGAAAGTAGCAACTAGGAGTATCACAACCAGCATATAAACATGTGCTGTGCTTTGCATGACTGCGTGATAACGTTAGATTCATTCACATGCATAAAGTTATTCGAGTGGAACAAAGTTCAGCAAGTCTGGTCTTGCATGGTTTTAACCCTATTAGACCATGAAAAACCTATTCTTATTACTACAATGGGTTGATCAACATCTGAGTAATTTGTGTTTACTGATTAATGTCTCTGGAATTTAAAGAATGTAGCTGTCTATTTAGATTACAGTAAGATCATTACATGTTGTCTCATAAATTTAGTATTGGAGTAATTTGATAACAATGTGGTATAAATTACAGAATAACTCTTGTAACTATTTATCCTAGTGACGGCCTAAGGGTGATTTTTAAGATCTTTATTAAAATACCACCGTTTTCCCATGACAGATTAAGCATATGTTAAATATTTAATCAGTGTAGACAAATACAGTACTGTTTTTAATTATCTGATGTAAGTAGAACTCAAATGCTTTTCATTTTAATAGTGGGATTGTCTAGACTGAATCTATTTAACTGCAATCATGATAGTAACAAGATCTTTCAAGTTAAGACTACATATTTTTTAACTTTAGAGTTCAATCATAATACTCAGGATGTGGGGGGGGAGGGGATTCTGATTGGAGTAAAGGGTCTTGATTGTCCTTGACCTTTTATGGTTTCAGATTTGTGATTTGGAAAAACAATTTTTCCTCCTATATAATTTATTATCCTTCACCTTTCCAAAGGTGGTCAAGGGTTTATATAACAGCAAAGGCATACAGCTATTTCTAAAAATATTGAAATAGTGAACGGCAAATGGCGATTGGTGATAATATATTGCCAATTGCATGACCCAAAGATGAAGTGGGCATACATCCAAACACTAAGAATTGAGGCATTTTAAGTGGTTTCATTGACTACAAACAACACTAAATATCTCAACGACAACATCTGTGTTATTTATAAGAATAACAATAAGAAGCACAAGTCATTCCAGCTATTTTTGGGTCTTGGAATGACCTATCACCTATTGCTTATTATCTATCTCTGTTCACCCATTCAACTTTTTTTGAAATTGCTGTATATAAGAAACCAAAGTATATATTACATGTATGAGAATATATAAGAAATATATATTTGTACTGCGGTTGTAATGAATTAAATTGAGCTGATCCTCGCAGTATATGAAGCAACTTATGCAGCTGCAAATTGAAAAGAAAAATTTTTTCTGAGTTTTTCAATTTGCAGCTGCATAAGTTGCTTCATATACTGCGAGGATCAGCTCAATTTGATATATGTATCATAATACTTCGATTAACATTGATATATGTATATATTTACCTCTAACTGCTCTGTGGACTCTTCTCATCAGCAAAGGAGGCTCCTACAAATTGAAAATAATTGAACATAACCAAACTAGCAATACTGTGTATGGCAGTGTAGTCTATCAGGGACCATGGAGTGTTATTTTGATTAGGGGGGAGGGGCGGGGAGCTTTTGATTAGGGGGAGGGGGGGGGGGGCTATGATGCTGAAGGTGGAAGCACATAAGGGGTTTTGAGTGCAGGTCCCACCATAATATTTTTAAATTGGAGCCTTAGAATTGTATTTTCAGTGTTTTTAGGGGCATTTGCAACATATTTATTGCATTCTATTGCATTAAAGTTACGACAATTTTTCCACATTCTGGCTATTGGTATTTTAAGTAGCAATAATAAAAAAATTATTTTTATAAGTAGTTCAAAATGGTAGAAAAATTATTGTGTGAGCAATACTCCCCAGCCCCCTATATGTAGCTCTGCGGTCCATGGCTATAGTAGTATATGAGAGCCAACTATAAATCTTGAATCTTGAGATAAAACTTCGAAACTCGGCAATAGACTAACATCAATCAAATAAATTGTTCAGTATTTTTACATATTGGTACTCCGATTGACAGCAGTGTATTGCCTGATTTCCCAGTCATGACTGATGTTATCTTGATCAGGGCATAGCAATGAAAATTGTGGTAATGCTCAAGATATATTATATAAATTAATTAAATATAAACATGAAGAGATAACTAGCTAAAAACTAGTGTGAGCTGCGTCGATTTTTCTAATGAAACAGTAATGGTAAAAAGGTAAATTATACACAGTGAAAAGATGAAAAATTGTTTTTTGTTTCCTTGCCTACCTTGTTCTCATAATTGGTTTCTTTTGTCTTATTCTATCATATAAACACTCCTTTCTACCACCTCTTTCTCTTTTACTCCCACTAAGGACTAGCGTCCGAAAAAATCTGTAAGTTTTTTCATTGTTTCACAGTGTATAATTTACCTTTTTATCATTACTTTAAATATAAACACTGTATCTTGCAAGGCTTCTGACAGGTATCACTATTTTTATACTATTCATTACAATTTATTCTTCTAAAAGAAATTAAAAATGAGTACACACCTTCATTGCTGGGAAACGTGCATCTTGTATTTTTCCTGAAAATTTAAAGAATTCAAATTTAACACATTTTAAAGTGCAAAATATGGTTCCCAAACAAGTGTTTTTTTCCCATTGGATAATAAGTAATTTCTTACTGAACAAAAACTATAACAGAAAAGCATTCATTGATACATTTTCAACAACATTTTATCCTAAAAATAAATTCTAAAACCTTACATTTAGATCCTAATGGACAATAAAACAAGTATAGAATGTTGCCGTTATAATATATTGTAGGCAAACAGCGAAAGCTGGCTCTATGTAGAATACAAAAAAACCTTTGCCCCATAGAGATAAGCTGTATTTTGAAAATCCTTCTTTAAATGCAAATGAGTTAGCCTTCCCAAGGTCAAGCTTGATTGAATAAATTACATCTATATATTTGTCTGAAATGAAATCTAAAGATATTGAATTTGCAATTTTAAGATAATTGTTAGAATGTTGAATGTAAACATAATTTCAGTGAGATAAAATTGAAAATTATGATATATATATTTTTCTATAAATGATAATTAATTAAATTTGTTGTTTTTGTTGCAAATTTTTTGTAGCAAAAATCTTATCCATAATTAATATCTTTTTGGCAACAGTCCTGACACAAGTAAACATCAATAGACCTATTTAGCTTCGTTGTTTGTTGTAACCATTTCAGAGCATGTGAGTTACTCTTGGGAGTTGATTCTTTCATGTGTAAATATTTTAACATGTTCGTCATAAAAGAACAACTCTCGAGGGAATGTCATGTGATCTGAAATGGGCAATTTGCATACGAAGGTAAATGGGTCTATTATATTTATATTATTAAAAAAATCATAAATATGAAAAATACAAAAACACCACAGGAAGCCCACACAACAGAAGGTTTTGTAGAATGGCATATAATATCATCAAGAACCACAGAGCACCCTAAAATGTATACATGTGTGTGTTGAGTGTTCTTTTCCCTCCATGGTCATAGATTTGTAAGACCACATCAATACTAGGTTCTTCCTCTCCCAGTAAAGAACTTGATCTGGCATTAAATTCTATACTAATGGATTGGGGGCTAGGAAAGTATGGAAACACAGCCATGTGTTAATCAGATTACGCAAGCTGATTTCAGTCATATCTGATAACAGCCTCATCCTAGACTGTATTCAATTTCATGATTACTGCATGGTGATATAGTGAAGCCTATATGATTATTTACTGAGCRCACATGTGTATATACATAGATATCGCAAAACACTTATGTGGTTCATATTACAAGACAGATAAGCTATCTAAGTAGAATCATTGGTTCAAAATTAGTATATATTATTATGAACCTAAGTTTTTTAGTTTTTTCATTTTCTAATTGGCGGTCTAAAATATTTCTAGCCTGCTATTTATAGAATTTGAATACTAGCAACTGGCTAGCAACTATATAGATCCATTATTTACCCTTTATAGTAAAATTCATTAAAAAATTTAATCTATGGTCAATATATATATATATATACATTAGGACAAAAATGTCTGGATTTTTAAACCAATACTTACTCATGGTAAGAAGCTGCACATGGCACAATGACAAAAGAGTAAGTACAGTTACGGATATTTCTGATTAATGTGAGTAACAGCTCAATATTTGAAATGCAAATAGCTTTTTTATACTCTAATTTCAATAGTAATACCCTGACATCTTCCTGGTACCATGAAATCTCAGCTGGTAGTATTTCCACATTTTCATTACTTTAAACATGTGGAAGTCATAACATTAATCCTTTTTTAACCCTTTTAAACTATTTTTTTACAGAAATACTTGATGTAAAAGAAGGAATGGTTCAGAAATATCATTGAAAATGCCTGGTTAACGTTTTTTCAATTTACGTTTAGATACAAGTCGAACATACAAAAGGTAAAAGATGATAGTTGTTTTGATAATGAGAAATAAACAGATCATTTTATAACGATAAAAACTTTAAATTTATGACGTCTAGATTCTATAGCGCTGTTTATCTCTCTGTGCTCTAATGATTGGCGTCCATCAATCAAAAAATAAAGAAGTCTGATGGAATAATAGAAAATGACAAAAAAAAATTCTAATTAAAAAATCTAAATTAAAAAAAGGCAATTTTGTAATGATGCAACATAAGAATGTTTAGTTTTTAGTGAGCATCATTTTAAAACATCCTTTTTTGTTCAGAATTGACAAAAAGGAATAAAAAAAACAATGAAAAATTGGATGTGAATTGGATGCTCATAAATTGGATGGTTTTATTTCTTAAAAGCGTGACTTGCGAGTGCTAATAAAACAATTTTTCACGTTTTTCTTGACACGTTTGAAAAAAAAAGACACTTCACGACTATATGAACAATAATTTAAGGGTCCTCAATGACAAAATTTAAGTAAACTGCATATTAATAATGGGATTTGAAGATAAGAATTTTTTCCCTTTAACACGATTGTCTTTACGCTCCGTCAGACGTTCGCGACCTCGAATGAATTAAAATTTCAGTATTTTGACTAAAGTCGTGGTTTATATTTTAGTAAAAGATTAATTTTTAAACTTCTAGATTAAGAAAATATTGTTAAACAAGATTATCCATAAAAGTGAAGGATCTGAGTTATTAAAGGGTTTCATTTTTCCATTTTCATTGAAAGTCAACCTACGAACCTTCGCAATATGCTCCGAGCTATAAGGTCAAGCGTAAAGATCCATTAAATCAGTTTACTCCAACTCAAAGTAAACTAATTAGGAAAACAACGTTTTATTTGGAGTACGTATGAAAGACAAGACAAGTCTATGAGAAAGCTTGTCGTATTTTACGGCTTATATTATGAGGCTTTTTGAAAGCCATAGATCGTGTCATAATTCGAAGGACACCGGGCAGCAACAGCTTGAACACTGTTTTGCATCATTCGAGTATTCTTAGCCTTCCGTTCTCGTACTAAAGCTAGTTTTCATACTTATTTTTTAAGCCAACACAGGTATTTAGCCTGGAATATAGAGCATTCGCATCTAATAGTTTGCAAATAGCTAGTAAATAGAATGTTAATGAAGGACCGTTGTGTGTCGAAGGACACACAAGACCTTCTCTCTCACTTCAAAGTAGATTCACAGCACTGCACGCAACGCAAAAAATAGCTTATTCTTACCTTGCCCGCAACATAGGGTCATCAAACATGTAAGAAGCCAAAATAATACGAGCATTCCGTGCTAAGCTCCGCTAAAATCTTCTTTTAGTCCTGCCATTTCAAAACTTGCGGTCTAAATATTTAATTTTACCAGTTTACTAAACAGATGCTAATTATGCTAATTTATACCCATTGTTATGGTAACGGTTTTCTTACTCCAGTTCAGGAGGTGGTTTAGTTTGTTCAGGTGAAAATACCTGTAAAAATCCATCGTTAAATTTCTCCCTAACATTTCCCTGCTTAAACTTCCCTTTCTATCTTCCTTTAAAAACTGTTTTCAGAATCTCAAAATAGTCAACCGTGGACGAATTTTACTCTTCTTTTGTCCCTTGCAACAATGAACACTTGAAAATAGAATAGAAGCCATCAAGAAGTATAGTAAACTCTTCATTATGATAATATTGTATAACTGATTCGTTACAAAAGAAAAAAAGAAAAGTTTAACTTCAAATTATCGCTTTTTTTAAGCATTTGTGCAATTAGTTAAACAATAGTATTGGCACTCCCCCAATTCTGGAGACGCATTAATATGAATTAAGTATAGTTGTTATCTAATAAAACAACTTGTTATTTTCTTAACATGAAGGATAGCTTAAATTAAATCGGCAACTTTTCAATACAGGTGGTTTTCTTGTTCCGCCATCTTCTCGAGCTACCCGGCAAAAAATCCGGTGCTGACCGTGAGATTATTTGTACTGTCGACTTTCATCCAATCATTGTCTGATTTCGAGATATTTAATGTGGCATTAAATGAAATAAGATTTCCTGGTCCAAAATCTCTTATATTTTAGCAGTACACATGGTAGGATTTTATTATCATCCCAGCCATTTGTTTTTCATGAAACACATTAACTATTGATTGCTTGGCTTTTCTGATAACACGAGGTCCATCTAAGCTATGACTGGTGCTTAGATTGATGAAGCGACTGAGTATTCTGACAATGGGTTTCAATAAAGAATGCAAATAGCAGCCGGTGGTGCACTAACAGGGGGTCGATATTATGACAAAGTTTGTAACTTTGAAAATAATGTTATGGAGCTAATTAATATCCATCACCGGGGGGTACGCAAATTAAATGCAATGATCCATTTAAACTTTAAATTTCACGAGAAAAGAAAGTTTCAAACCCCGAAAACAACTTCAGGGCTGATGAAGTCAGGACACGGCTTCCCCACAGATCTAACCCTGAAACAACCTCTCGGGGCTGATCAAAGTCACGGCACGGCGAACCCAAAGATTGAATTGGAATTTAGCGTGTTAGTTTTTGCAGAGGGAGGTGTAGCCTCCCACACAGACGTTCTTAGGTCGGAGCTCAAATCAGAGGAGAGACCCAACAAACTCTTCTTGCATGATTTCAAGAACGACAGAACTATAACTGATGAATTGAAAAGTTCAGATTTCCTTTTTTAACACCTTTACATCCTTTGAATGAAAATTAGCGGACCTGTAAGGCAGTACATTGGTTGATTATCCGCTAGTAAGCCCGTGTCAAAAATGGTATTTGGTGCTTTCTAAGGGGGCTGAAAAATGGCCCAAAATTCGTTGGGTTAAATTATGGAACCTTTTTTCATGGTCTGCCAACAATTTTGGCATGTGATTTTTGATGTTAGAGGAATATTGGGCTCGTTTTTCCAAGCTAGTTTTTCCGATGAAACGACGTGGCAAAATTTTGCCAACAAAAGTTGGGCCGTTTGTTAAAGGCCTAACGATGATTGCAGACCGCTGCATATTGATTATAATCAGTAAAATAAATGCAATAAGACTAAGACCAAAATCCTAAAAAAATAACGTCATGTTTTTGGTATTCTCGGCAGTCGCATTATGACGTAATCGGCAATCAAGAGAATTAAATACCACAAAAAAGAGGACTAGTCAAGGTGCAACATCTATGGTGTTCACTTGCCGATTTATTACCTTATGGAGACAAAGCTCATCAACATTGTAAGGCCGGGGGCTTGGGAAAAAGCGAGGATGCTCGTCGTACCTCGTACGGATATATAGTTTTGGTTCGGCATCAAATGACTTCTGCTAATAGCAATCAGACAAATGAGTAAATTGTTTTAGAGTTGGTACCGGCTTTTTTGGGTAAAAATCATTAGTTGCCACGCCCACCTGGACAGGATTCGGGTACCTTTAGGGGGACATTTTAAAAATTTCTGACGAGCATCCCTGTACTGATCCTTGCCCTATTGTATATGGGAATACCCCCGGGGTAAAATGCTGCTTTTGATGAACCTAGTCAACGAAAAAATGACAGTGAGCCGTCAGTGCTCACCGAAAAAAAAGTTCTCTTTATACAGTTTTTAAATGCTTGTTTTAGTCCGAGTCTGATCCCACGTCACTCATTTCCTCTTCTTCAGATTTCTCTTCATCCATTGACTCTTCTTCCGATTCGTCTTTCTTTGTTTTCTTTTTTGGTTTAGCTTTCGATTTTTTCTGCTAAAAATAGACGAAATAGATTTTTAATCAGAGAGCTACACAAAATACCTTGTAGGTGGAATATGGTTATCGTATAACTTACAGCACATACACGTTGCGACATACCATAACATTGAAATGGCTTCCCATAAGAATGGTTATCGTATGAGTGGGAAACATACGATGCTAAATTACAGCACGTACACGGTACGACATGCCGTAACATTGAAATGGCTTCCCATAAGAATGGCTATCGTATGAGTAGAAAACATGCGATACTAAATCACAGCACGTACATGATACGACATGCCGTAACACTAAAATGGCTTCCCATAAGAATGGTTATCGCATGAGTGGGAAGCATACGATACTAAATTACAGCACGTACATGATACGACATACCGTAACATTGAAATGGCTTCCTATTTCCATGCAATTGCTTTTCAGTAATTCACCCAATCACAACGCGTAGTTACGGTTACGGTTCGAAACGTTCAGACCTCTGGATTTTTGGTTTTCATCAATCAAAGAATCACTAATAATTTTCAAACATTAAGATATATGATCAAAACGGGAAGCCAATCGAGGATAATGTTCCACACCTTTTTTCGATCGTCGTCCGAATCTGATGAATCGCCACTGGACTCTACGAATTCAGCGCTCTTAAATTTTTGTCCCTCGATGCTTTTTCTTGGTGAACCTTTCTTGGCTTTCGTTGGCGTGTCCTTCTTTTTACTCGAACTAAAAGAATAAAGAGCAAAGTTGAGACGGCTTGGACCTGCGAATGGCGCATGCGTGCAGATATGATTGGTGCGGAGGGCGGTGACAGCATAGTTAATAACTATGGTGATAGAGGCAAACAACAGAAAGCGGCTCTGGTAATAGAGCGGTTCTCTTATGAGTGGGAAACGTACAGCACTGTCTTACTGCACTTACATAGTACGACAAGCCGTAACATTATAATGGCTTCCCGTAAGAATTATTATCGTACGAGTGGGAAACATACAGTACTGTCTTACTGCTCGTACACAATACGATATGCCGTACTCGGTAACTTGGCTTGCCACTGCCTTCGAGGAATTATTCCAACATATTGGTACAACATAAGGCAATGGATTTCTCGTATTGTTCCCACTCATATGAAAATCGCTCTGGTTCTAGAAATATTAGTAAATCTCAAGCTTTAGCGTTGTTTAGCACTTTCAAAATGGATTTGAATTGACGGTAACAAATGGTTGAAATCAACATCGGTGTGATGTTTAAAGAGAAGAAAACTGTAGTGCGAGTGTAACTGACCTAGCGCCTCCACCCTCCAACAATTCTTTCTTGTAGTTCTTCATCTTTTCTTGGTACTTCTCCTTTTCTACTGCAGCTAGTTTTTCCCATTTCTGAGAAACAAAATCATATCATGAGCCAAAGAGCAGTGTCAACCTCGGTGGAAAACGTGCTACTGTAGTAACAGTGTCCATTGTTGGGTTGCAAGCAATCCCAAGAGAGTCAACGGACAAAAGAAAAAAAAAGAAAAAAAAATGGCGGCCATTTTGGTACCGTTAGCAATGGATGCTAATGAGAAATCTTTAAATTTTTTTAAATGGCACCAAAGTGTGGTGGAATGAGAGCTGTCAAGTAGTAATGCCAATGCTGCGACATGTCGCCTCAAGTCTGCTAAGATTCCAACAGGCACCCTAAACTTCGTTTGTGTTGAGTTTATGATGGAAATATTGAAACCAAGCCACGTTTTTAAAGCATAATAATTACGCAATGCTCCTAAATTAGAGAGTATGGAAACTGAATAACTCTTAGTGATTGAACCCTGTTTTTGACTCTCTCAGCCATTGTTCAAGGTATACTCACACTTTTGTCGGTGAGGACTTTCCACTTTTCTCCAGCAACCTTTGATACTTCAGTAACTGAGATTCCAGGGTTTTCGTCTTTGATTTGCTGTCGAGTATCGTTAAGCCATAACATGTATGCACTCATGGCTCTCTTGGGTGCATTGGGGTCTTTTTTCTTCTTGCCCTTCTTAGAAGAGGAGGCCTTAGAAACCTGGGACAAAATACGGATTGAATGAATATGGAGAGAAGGGAGGAGATAAGATGAGATAAACATGAGATGAGATAAGAGAGATAAGATAGATAAAATAAGCGAATATGAAGAGAAGGGAGGAGATAAGATGAGATAAAGATGAGATGAGATAAGAGAGATAAGATAAGTGAATATGAAGAGAAGGGAGGAGATAAGATGAGATATAGATGAGATGAGATGAGAGAGATAAGATAAGTGAATATGAGAAGGGAGGAGATAAGATGAGATAAAGATGAGATGAGATGAGAGAGATAAGATAAGCGAATTATGAAGAGAAGGGAGGAGATAAGATGAGATGAGATGAGAGAGATAAGATAAGCGAATATGAAGAGAAGGGAGGAGATAAGATGAGATAAAGATGAGATGAGAGAGATAAGATAAGCGAAGGGAGGTGAGGAGAGAATAGGATACGATAAAGGATCGTAATTTCACTTGTACGTTTTTGTTTAAAATGCTGTCAGCAGATCTAGAAATGAAAAAGAAGGGGCAAAAAATTTGAATACTCACGTCTGCTTTAGCCTTTTTCTTAGGAGATTTTTGCTTCTCAGCTTTCCTTTTCTTTTCAGGTTTACTTTTGGATCTCTTGGATTTTTTCTCTGATTCAGAGTCAGATCCGGCTTCCGAAGATGATGTTGATGCTTCACTATCAAATCTGAAGAAAAACACAGCAGTAACGTATTAGTAACAACCTCAAAATATTCAACAATGGTGAAATGAGAAACTAATAATAATAATAATAAAAACAATAAAAATAAGAGGATAACTGGATCAACATATTTAATGGACAAGGCCACAACAAAAAACAGTATACAAATTTAAAAAGAAAGACCAAAAAACAACAACAAAACATACAAGCCAGAAGGTCAGAAGTGAAAAAAAAGACAAATAGAATGCATGAATGAAAAAAAAACCACTCATAAATATATATATATATATA